CCTCCCGAGTAGCTGGGACTACAGGTGTCTACCACCATGCCTGGCTAATTTTTGTATTTTTAGTAGAGACGGGGTTTCACTCTATTGGCCAGGCTGGTGTCGAACTCCTGACCTCAGGTGATCTGCCCACCTCAGCCTCCCAAAGTGCTGGGATTACAGGTGTGAGCCACCATGCCTGGCCAGCTCCATTTACTTCTTGAGGAACTCATGGTTCTCTTTTTAGTCACTTTGGTCACAGAGAGATTATTTAACATCATTTAATAAAAATAGTAGTGCAAACAGGAAAGTAGCATAAAAATATAGTGTTGCTGTGGAAGGCTGGTGCTTGCTGCTGAGAAGCTGAAGCCAGAGGAGGCCAGGTGTGAGGAAGGAGGATTCTTTAAAGGCAAAGAGAGAGGCCTGCCTTTAAGAGCCGAGAAAGCCACTCATCCATGACCCCCAATACAGAGCTCTGCAGAACTGCTGCCAAATCCCAAACCCCAATGTAAGGGGGTGAGAGAATGAACTCCAGCCGCTTCTCCCAACAGGGCCCAACAGAGCTATTCTGGGACATGTGTGTTTGCAGTCTTGTGTGTGGAGAGCACCCAAAGGCTCAGCAGCAGCCCCAGGCCTCCATGCGGTCTGGTTTTCAGACTGGCATCCGCAGGCAGTGCATCTGAAGCACCTTCTAGTTACTGTCCCCATCTGGAATCTTGGTTTTCTCCATTCCATGTCACCTTCTATTGCCAACCCAAGGGTGCCAGTGCCTGTGGGTCCCATTATATGATACTCTCTCCCAGGACCGAATCCACTAGTCTGTGCAAAAAAAAAAAAAAAAAAAAAAAAAGCACTTAGCTACATCCTACTCCCCAATAAATGTCTCTGGGGTCTTCATTTTCTCTTCCGGCTAATCCTCAGTTCATCCAGTTCCTTCTCCATTAAGTGGGATTCGGCAGTGGACTCCGAAAGCTGAAAGTAAAGCAGCAGCTGTTAGTAAGCAGCACATTTCTAGATGTTTCAGGTTGGCAAGGCCGGCCCTACACGCGGAGGAAAGGCCCCCTGGCACTTCTCTGGCACTGCTGGCCTCCATGGTGGGAAACCCTCTGAAACGGGGTAGAATGCAACCCCGGATGGCCCAGGACCACAAGTCCTTGAAGAATATTCACAGTCCACTCTGTCAGCACGCTGTCACCCACGAGGGCATGGCACTCCCTGCACGAAGGACAGCAGGTCTCAGAGGATGTCAAAGGCAGATACTGGTGATTCTAAGGCTAAGGGATTACAGTTTAAATTGATTCTAAGCTGTAGCTCCCATAAGGGGGATTAGGGGAGAAAATGCTGGAAAAAGAACGCCACTCTCCTCCTTAGGGTTTTTTTGTTTTTGTTTTTTGGTTTGTTTGTTTTTTGAGACAGGGTCTCACTCTGTCGGCCAGGCTGGGTGCTTTGCTTGTACTAACTCACTGTAAGGTAGATACTACGATTATGCTCATTTTTTAAAAAAACATCCAGGCCAGGCACGGTGGCTCATGCCTGTAATCTCAGCACTTTGGGAGGCTGAGACAGGGAGATCACCTGAGGTCAGGAGTTGGAGACCAACCTGGCCAACATGGTGAAACCCCATCTCTACTAAAAATGCAAAAGTTAGCCGGGCATGGTGGCAGGTGCTCATCGGGAGGTTGAGGCAGGAGAATCACTTGAACCCAGGAGGCAGAGGTTTCAGTGTGCAGAGATCACGCCACTGCACTCCAGCCCAGGCTACAGAGCAAGACTCTGTCTTAAATAAATAAATAGGTAAATAAAAATAAAAAACCATCCAGCCTAAAATGTCAGTCTTTTTCTTTTTTTTTTTTTCCGAGACGGAGCCTCACTCTGTCACCCAGGCTGGAATGCGATGGCACAATCTCAGCCCACTGCAACCTCTGCCTCCTGGGTTCAAGCAATTCTCCTGCCTCAGCTTCCTGAGTAGCTGGGATTACCGGTGCGTGCCACCACACTCGGCTAATTTTTGTATTTTTAGTAGAGACAGGGTTTCACCATGTTGGTCAAGCTGGTCTTGAACTCCTGACCTTGTGACCCGTCCACCTCGGCCTCCCAAAATGCTAGGATTACAGGTGTGAGCCATCATGCCCAGCCTAGTTCTTTTT